CGGGCGACGGCGAGCGGTGACGGCGAGCAGCAAGCAGGTACGTTCTTCTCATCGATGTTTTTCTGCTCCTTTTTTCTTTTCGTTTTTTTCGTTTTCTTTTTTTCTTTTCTTTTCTCCTCAACGCGCAAGTACGTTTTGCGTTCTCATTCTTGTTCTTTTCTTTTCTTTTCTTTTTTTCTTTTCTTTTTTCTTTTCTTTTAATTTTACGTTCTCTTTCTCTGCTCCTCAGCGATGTTTTTTCGTTTCTTTTCTTTTCTTTTTTTTTTCTTTTTGTTTTCCGTTCTCTTAATTAAGGACAACGAGCAGGTGTTTTCTTTTTTCTTTTATGTTTTAAAATCTAAGTTTTTAGTTGTTGATTGTTAAGTGTAAACTGTTAATTAAGTTCACTCTTCTTAACTTGTTAGTTTTATTGTTAACTAACTTACAAAGAGAGATTTAATGTTAACTAACTTATTCCTCCTAGTTGTTAGTTCTTAATTTAATTTTTTATTATTATCACTCTTGATTGTTAACTGTTTTTTCTTTGGCTTAATATCAATATGTAGAGTCATGATATTATGAACTAATTGCTTGCTTCTTATTAATACATATCAGTCATAATTGTTGAAAATTTTCAAGCTTACTGATGTAGTACTAGTGCTACTATTTGATTTCCTGTGCGAGACTGTGAGTATTGATTCTTGCTATTTGAGCTAGGTGTAGTGCTACTAGTTGAAACTTAATTCGCCATTTGTAACCTGTAAAGAGGAAAATAAAACTTAGCAATATAGTTGTTAGTGATGCAATATACTAGTGCTTGGTTTGCTTCAATGATTAAAACTTTATTTTGTGATTTGGTAGTATATATTTTATTTATCTTGAGTCCTTGACATTTTCTATATGAAATTTCACAAATATATATTTTTTTCATTCATGTTGTATATTTTCAAATTTTTTGTGGTCTGGAGTGCACCTCGCTTCGCTCGGGCGCGTGCATTGCGCCTTGCGCCTTGCGCATGTGCGTGTAAACGGACTTTGCGCCCCGCATTGCGCCTCGCGCATTGGAAACACTGATAGTTACGTATAAGAATCAAACTTTCATGTACTCAGGAAATATACAATATTTATGTGTCCTAATGGCTGATCTTGGACTACTTCAGTATTCCGTACCCCTTTTGTGAAGCTGTCATCCATGTTTCCATATCGTGCACAATCACATACAAAATATAGCGTGGGCTTGCTTAAACAGTGAATGGTGGAGAATTAAAGAGCTGTATTTAGAAGCATTCTGTCACATGACTTGCTGTGTTTTTGGGACACTAAACTATCTTTCTTCTAGCTGTTTATGCTTCTGTTATTTGATTATATTCAAAAAGATTTCAGTAGTAATTCAATCCCGAATAGGAAACAGTTCAAATTGGGAGAACAGTGTGCAAACTGGTCACGCTATACAGGCAATAAACTTCTAGGACCTCTTAGGTTAAATCCATTACAAGAATAGTATGTAGCTTTAGGTTCTTAAATGGGTTCAGGGGATATTACTGATTGGCATGTGGATCCAAATTCTATCATAGTTGTCAGTGACAGGCATACAATTGGAATTTGCTTGGGACAAAATTTATACTAGAATAATATCTTGATCTGGAACTAGGACTGAGTCGTGTTGCATATCTCAGGTTCGTTTACGCTCTATTCCGCACATGTGCCAATTTTACACATTAGTGGTTGGAGAGATTTTTATAATCTCTTATGTTAATCTTCTTACAAGTGCCAGGCGATCAGCAACCTTTATAGATAATTAAGAATTTAACATTGACAACTAAAGTAATCGTCACTTGTCAGTCTAAATCTCTATGTTAAATTCTCAGTAGTATTTATAGATAATCTAAGGATCTAATGTTGGCAATTTAAAGTAATCATCACATTTCATTCTTGTCAGTCTAAATATCCATGTTAAATGTTCCGTTTTCTTAATATATATTGTTAATCGTCGCTAACTGTATTAAATTTTTGCTAGATCGGTTGCCTTCTTTGGTATCCCAAAACCTGATTACAGATCCTGGTATTAAATCTCATACTCAGACTGTTCAAAAATCTGTTCGTGCACCTTACTTATTCTTCCTTCCCAAGCTACTCTATACGAAAACTAAATCTGATTAAACTTTGAAACAGCTTTCCGATTATGGAACACTGTCTACTTGAAATGAACCACAAAATAATTTGATCGGTTACTTTTTATAGATTTAAGTGGTTCATGTCTTCGTGTAAAACTAACCAAATGATCAATATGTCCTTCTTAATACGTTTTTAATAAAACGCACATGTTTTACTTGTATGACTTGTGAATTTTGCATATCTTACTAGTAATTGCCAACAATCATTTCCTCACATTTTTATATGATATGCACTGAGAAATATTGCACGTATCTAAGGTGTTATGTTGTAACTTATTTGCATTTGTCGGTTTATAATTCGTAAGCATATATATGATCAATGAAATGTGATTCTTTTTTGGGTTCTTTGTTATGCAATGGATTCAGATAATTCTGGACCCATATATTCCCTGAAAAGTCCTTATCGAAGCAGTCATAAGCTTTGTCCTGATACCTTAATCGCTTTACTGGATCATCCTTTTGCTAGGCTGTACCTCTATTATCTGGGCTGCTGATCTACGTGGATTTGTTCTGTATAACAATATATCAATAACCATCAATCTTCATTACTGATCTCAACTGATCAACTTGCAGTACGAGCATATGGTGTTGCTGGAGTTGCTCAAGCAAGGTCATGCTGAACCTGACAAGAAGATTGGAGAAGGCATACAAGCATTCCAGGTCCGCTATCATCCAATGTGGAAGAGCCGCTGCTTCTTCCTTGTGAGGGTCGACGGTAGTAGCGATGACTTCAGCTTCAGAAAATGTGTTGATCGCATTCTTCCTTTGCCAGAGAATATGAAAGTCCCCGCATCGGGTGGGAACAATGGCAAGAAATTTGGGGGACATAATAAGGGTGGAGGTCGCGGAGGCAGAGGTGGTCGTGGAGGCAGAGGTAGAGGTGGGTTTAGGAAGTGAGAGCTGTTAGCCTTTATTTTCGGTGATATTTGCGCTATTTACTTCATGAGCTTGTAGTTTTATGTTACTATTTGGGAACATAATATCATAGGGGGTTTTAGATCCTCCTTTGATGATTAATGGCTTAAAGAGATTTTCCATGTCTGAATACTGAGGATTTGCAGAGATTGTGATGCTGAGGGGTCAATTTTGTTTTCTATCTGAACGGGCGCGCCTTTAATGACTCAAACCAAACCCCAATTCCCCCACCCCACCAAAAAAAAGGAAAAAAATGCGTATCACACTTGAGCAAGGAATTCAGGAGAGAGTGTAACGAAATATTCTGTATGATCATCTCTACACATTGCACGTCTCAACCTTAAGATGCCTTCTCTTTCTTCAAATGCGTCCTAGAGGCGCATATTGCTATTTGGGTTCTTTTCTTAATTAGTCTAGTTACTTGAAATTTTGAATGCAGAAATTGTAGAAGAATATTTGATTTTGAGAAACAAGAAGTTCATGTATTAAGGGGCGATTATTATATAACATTTCTTTTATTGGCAGATCGTCATGTTCATCGCGTGCCATTTTTATTGGGGAAAAAAAAATTCATATTTTCTGGAGTCTTGTCCAGATGTGCTACAGTCTAACGCAACAAAAAACATAGGTACAGGAAGATATTTTCCTTGGAAAACGTAGGATCACACACGAAAGAAAGAGACGAGGACCCCAATCTCCTTCTCTCCCCCGATCCTTTGCCTCTCAAATTCAAAAAATCCAGAGTACCGATGACGACCACAACCCCAACGGTCACTCCCCTCTCTCCCGCCAAAACCCCACCACCACCACCAACCCCAAAACCCTCAACCCTCCAGAACCCCACCTCCATCCAACACATCCAGCAACTCCACGCCGTAGCCATCAAATCCAACCTCCAAACCAACCTCCCTTTCCTCACGAAACTCATCACCCACCTCACCTCCACCCCAACCCCCTCCTCCCTCTCCTACGCCCACCAGATGTTCGATACAATCCCCGACCCACCCATTCTCCTCTTTAACACCCTCTCTCGTGGCTACTCTCGTTCTCAAACCCCCTCCATCGCCTTCTCCCTCTTCGCCGAAATGATCAATTCCAACATAACTCCGGACAACTACACCTTCCCCTCTCTCCTCAAAGCTTGCGCCAGTGCAAAAACCCTAGATGTGGGTAAACAAGCCCATGCGTTCGCGATGAAGCTTGGGCTGGCGGATAATGGGTTTGTTAGGCCCACTTTGATTAATATGTATGGGGAGTGTGGGGAGTTGACGGAAGCTAGGGTTTTGTTTGAGAGAGGGGATGTGGAGTGTGTTGTTTCGTATAATGCAATGATTATGGCTTGTGTGTGTGAGGGGGAGTAGGCCGAGTGAGGCGCTTGCGTTGTTTAGGGAGTTGCAAGGGAAGGGGATGAGGCCTACGGACGTGACAATGCTTAGTGTGTTGTCGGCGTGCGCGTTGCTGGGGGCGATTGAGCTTGGGAAGTGGATTCATGATTATGTGAAGAAAAACGGGTTTGGTTCTTATGTTAAGGTGAGTGGTCTTTGAGTTCCTCAAAGATTTTATAATCAAGGGTTGATTGCTGACAGACTTATTGTGGTTTTATTGTTGCAGATAGATCCCTGGGTAGAACTTTTAGACCCTTTCCATGGGGTATATCTAAGAACATAGATAGATTTTAACTCAGGGGGTCTATCTGCGACAATTGAACTCTTTCAGGGGGTCTATCTGCGACCGTTGAACCCTTTCAGGGGTTCTATCCGCAAGAATAGAACTATAAAGATAGTATGTTCAATTTGATGATAGTACAGCCCAGATAATGAATATTTATATAAACTTGTGATTGTAGGTAAATACAGCTTTGATCGATATGTATGCGAAGTGCGGGAGCTTGGAGGACGCTATCGATGTTTTTCACTCGATGGGCACGAAGGATACTCAAGCCTGGTCGGCCATGATTGTTGCCTACGCAATCCATGGCCACGGGAGCATCGCCATCTCCATGTTTGACAAAATGCTACACGATGGAATCAAGCCCGATGGCATAACATTCCTCGGTGTCTTATACGCTTGCAGCCACTCAGGCATGGTCGACAAAGGCCTAGACTACTTCCACAGTATGAAGAAAACACATAACATCGTGCCAGGGATCAAGCACTATGGTTGCATCGTGGACTTGCTAGCTCGTGCGGGACGACTTGATGAAGCCTTTGAGTTCATCGACAGGCTGCCAATCAAGCCAACACCGATCCTCTGGCGAACTCTACTGTCTGCCTGTGGAGCTCGTGGCAATATCGATCTTGGAAAGCTCGTGTTTGATAGAATCACAGAGCTCGATGACTCCCATGGAGGAGACTATGTTATATTATCGAACATGTGTGCGTCTGTTGGGAGATTAGACGACGTGAATAAAATAAGGAAGTTAATGAGCGAGAGAGGGGTGGTCAAGGTGCCAGGAGTGAGCTCGATAGAGCTTAATAACACGGTGCACGAGTTCTTTTCTGGCGATGGGAAGCATCCGAGGTCGAGGGAGGTGCACAAAATGGTGGATGAGGTTGTGGAGCAACTGAAGATTGTTGGGTACGCGCCTGATACTTCAAAGGTGTTCCATGTGGGGATGGATGAAGAGGGGAAGGAGATCAGTTTGAGGTATCACAGTGAGAAGTTGGCTATTGCGTTTGGGCTTATGAGCAGCGCTCCAGGGGCTACGATCAGGATCGTGAAGAATCTGAGAGTGTGTGGAGATTGTCATTCAATGGCGAAAATGGTGTCAATGGTTTATGGGAGGAGGATTGTGCTTAGGGATCTTAATAGGTTTCATCATTTTGAAGGTGGGGTTTGTTCTTGTGGGGATTATTGGTAGTGATTTGTTCTTCATTTTTTTGTTGATGTTAGGACCACATTGTCTAAAATCCTAAAACTGACAAAGACAGGGTTATATTACATTTTGCAATTGTCATGCTTCTACTTTCTCCAATTCTCCACCACCACGTAGAAAATAAATAGGAACTCTACTTTTCAACAACACATTTTAGTTTATTTAAAAATAAATTGACAGTTATGATTAAACTTAACTACATCTATGTGTGCTGTGGCTACATCTTTCAAATAAATAGTTATTTTTCAAATATGAGTCGGAGTGAGTGAATGTTATAAACTTTTTACACTTTCATCCTATTCTATGATATTTTTCTTATGATTTTTCAGCCCTAAAGTCTACAATATTTTCTTGTCGTGTAGAAAAAATTGAAATGCTAGAACAGACAGGCTAGTTGATGTAGACATTAGTCTTTAATGTTCTTTAAACTGACGGGTTCAATTTTCCCTAACTTGACTTGTACTATTAACATAGATTTTTATTCTAGGAGTGTCCAATGAGAATCGATATCTAATAGAAGTATGATACGCGATAGAATTATCCAAGAAGTATATGATATGTGTCAGTATCTAATACATGTCGTGTACGGTGTGAATATCGTTTCATGATAATTATACTAAGGGGCTGTTTGGTTGGTTTCTAAAAAACCAAGAATAGGAAATTGTAACTTGGAAATCTCCAAAAGTTCAATTTCCACCATTTCCATCCCTAAAACTTACCCACAACATCCAATAAAATATTACTTTCATCCAATAACTCATCCCTATCATCCAATAAAATATTATTTTCACCCAACAACTCATCTCATATCATCCAATAAAATAAACCAAACAAAAGAAATGAGTCACATCATCCAACTCATCTCATCTCCATCCCATCTCATCTTTAAAAATCACACACATCATCCAATAATATTGTGACAACTCATCTCATCTCATCTCCATTTCATCTCCACCCATTTCCTCCAAAAAAACAAGGAAATTGATTTCCTTAAGTGTGGGTCACATCATCCAATAATATAATGACAACTCATCTCATCTCATCTCATCTCCTATTTTTAAGAATGAACCAAACACAAGAGAATAACCTATTATAAGAAATATGTTTCCTATTCTTTGATTTCCTTCTTTTTTAACCAACCAAACAACCTCAAAATAACTTTTCTTAAAAAATCACTCACATCATCCAATAATACGGTGACAACTCATCTCATCTCATCTCCTATTATTTGATTTCCTTCTTTTTTTAGCCAACCAAACAACTATAAAACAATTTTTTAAGAAAATAGGTTTCCTATTCCTTGATTTCCTTCTTTTTTTGGCAAGCAAACAGCCCCTAAGGTAACATACATACGCATCATGGGAACATGTTAATGCCCAAAAAATGTAATAGATACTCTACTAGTCCTAGAACAAAAGATATAACAAAAGTGTTTTCGTAAATAACCTACATTTTCACCTAAGTTGTATTTATAAAGGGCTCTCAGTTGTAAACATATGCACTTAAATATTCCAAAATATTTTCTGTTAAAAAACCTCGACATCGTTATAATTTTCCTAAAAAACGAAAATGCCCTCCTTCATTTAATATAGCACAGGGACGGTTTAATTATAGATTCGATAAACTTTGATGATACATAAATGTATTAGAATACTATGTGACGTGCCACATGAGATTATTCTTTGAATATTCTAACAGAAGGCGTCAACGTTCAACATTTTAAATTTTTAGGGGTATTTACATGCATAATTTTGGAACTTTAAAGTATTTTAAGTGCGGGCGTTTATAACTGAGGGTATTTAAATGCAACTCAGGGCGAAACTCTTGGGGGGTAAAGTGCAATATAGCCGGTGCTTCTCTTGGTTATCTAGCCCCTCAAACAAGGAAACAAACCCCTGAACAAGAGTGAACCGCCGTGGAAATCAATTAGACCGCTGCTAACTCCGCCCTGGTCCTCCGAACCCCAAATCTCCCGCTACTTCCTCCTCTCTTCTCTCTCCTCCCCTCAAAATCCCTAACCCTAATTATTCAATCTCTCTCTCTCTCTCTCTCTCTCTCTCTCTGTAATGGTCGCTGCCCCAAGCTAGCTTCTTTCCTCCATCAATCAATGGCCTCCTCTCTCCTCCTCCGCTCTCGAACTCTCTCCAAGCTCCGCCCTTTCCTCCCCCTCCACCCCCAGTTCCACTCAATCCTCCCTCATTCTCACCCCAAATTAGGGCTAGACTTAGAATTAGGATTGAGGTTGGGGTTAGCTTCACCTCCCCAGTTCCAAAAACCTCCTTTTTACTGCACCTCGACGGTCCAACCCCAAACCTTCGACCCTAAATCAATCTACTCCGAGTTCTCGAACGTCGACCTCGATTCCCATCAAATCCTCCCAAAGCGCCAATGGGAATCCCTCTCCGCGATCCTCAGGGCCTTCACAAGCTCTCCGTGGACCTCCGACCGGTCCCTCGCCATTTACATCCCCTCCTCCTTCTTCCCCACCGCCGCCAAAAGCTTCCGCCATTTCTTCCTCCGTCGCTGCTCCCTCGCCCTCTTCGATCACGTCTCCTCGATCGAAAGCCCCAATGAGTTCCTCCTCCCTGTATTCTTCGATTACTGTCTTAACGCTTTCGCCGACGAGCTCAAGCAGTTTAAGAAACTCATGGAGACTGCTGACTTGACCAAGCCCCATACTTGGTTCCCCTTTGCGCGGGCGATGAAGAGGAGGATCATATACCATTGCGGCCCCACGAATAGTGGGAAGACGTACAATGCTCTACAGAGGTTCATGGAGGTGAAGAATGGAGTGTATTGTGGCCCGCTGAGGCTGCTCGCCATGGAGGTCTTCGACAAGGTGAATTCTTTAGGCGTTTATTGTAGTTTACTTACAGGGCAGGAGAAGAAGATTTTCCCTTTCTCGAACCATGTTGCTTGTACTATTGAGATGGTCTCCACGGAGGATCTGTATGATGTGGCGGTTATCGATGAGGTTCAGATGATGACGGATCCTACAAGAGGGTATGCCTGGACTCGGGCTTTGCTTGGATTGAAGGCTGATGAGATACATTTATGTGGGGACCCAAGCGTGTTGAAGATTGTGAAGAGGATTTGTAAGGAGACTGGGGATGAGCTTAGGGTGCATAGTTATGAGAGGTTTAAGCCTTTGGTGGTTGAGGCAAAGAGCCTATTGGGGGATTTGAAGAATGTTAGGTCTGGTGATTGTATTGTTGCGTTCTCAAGGAGGGAGATTTTCGAGGTGAAGTTGGCGATCGAGAGGTTTACGAAGCATAAGTGCTGTGTTATTTATGGAGCATTGCCGCCTGAGACAAGGAGGCAGCAAGCTAGTTTGTTTAATGATCAGGATAATGAGTATGATGTTCTTGTGGCGAGTGATGCAGTTGGTATGGGATTGAATCTTAACATTAGAAGGGTTGTTTTCTATTCTTTGGCAAAGTATAATGGAGATAAGATGATGCCTGTTCCTGCTTCTCAAGTGAAGCAGATTTCTGGGCGAGCAGGGCGAAGGGGGAGTGTGTACCCTGATGGGCTTGTGACCACATTTCTTTTAGATGATTTGAGTTATTTGATTGAATGCTTGCAACAACCATTTGATGGAAGTGAAAAAGGTTGTGTCTCTTTCGCCTTCTTTGAGCACAGTGCGAGTTGTTTGCTGCGCAGTTTCCAACTTCTACTTTCTGTGAGTTACTAGACAAGTTTAGGGATAACTGCAGGCTCGATGGGTACTACTTTTTGTGCCAGCATGAAAACATTAGGAAAGTAGCAAACATGTTAGAGAAGGTACAGGGGCTTTCTCTTGAGGAAAGGTTCAACTTTTGCTTTGCGCCAGTTAACATTAGGGATCCAAAAGCTATGTTCCATTTGCTGAAGTTTGCTTCTCAGTATAGCGAGAAGCGACCAGTCAGCATAGCTATGGGGATGCCAAAGGGTTCGGCAAGAAATGATGCAGAGCTTTTGGATCTTGAGTCGAAGCATCAGGTTTTGTCTATGTACTTGTGGCTGTCATATCACTTCAAGGAGGATACATTTCCTTATGTGGAAAAGGCTGAGACTATGGCAGTAAGCATTGCTGATTTGCTTAACAAGTCTCTTGCTAAAGCTTGTTGGAAGCCTGGATCACGATCACAGGGAAGGGGCCAAAATCACTATGAGGAAGAACCTCACCCGAGTGGTTTAGAAGAAGGGGGTGATGAATCCGAGTCCAAAACAATTCGCAAACTTGACTCCTCTAGGAGGCCTGTTTTTGAAAGACCTAGGTCACTTATCAAATCATTTAAACGGTGAGTTTTTACAATTGTGAAATGTTCCTTGATTATTATACTTCATGCAATTTTTTAATTTAATATACCCCTCTTATCATTTTTGTTTGTCCTCAAGAGTTAGTCATCTTGTCACGGCATCACTTGCTACATTTTAGTCTCACGTTACTTCTTCGACAATTTATATGGTTGTTGTACCTTTTCGTTATACCTTTTTTTTTTGTAATTACAAAACTATAATCTTCTCCCTTCTTCAACTAGATGGCAAGGACATTTTGTTCTTCAAATTTCTTGCTTTCTGGTTGGTGTCACTAGGCAGAGATATATAATCTAACCTTGCATCTGATATAGTATCTATTCGGATTAGCCAACGTAATATGCTTAATTGTAATCCATTGCAAATTTATCTTTGCATCTACCTGGCCAATTATTTGTCAGAAAAAAGGATTTGAAGAAGCTTTTTTCTATTTACTTTAATATTTGTCGTTATATTCCATACTAGTTTTTTTATTTCTTTTTTTCTTTCTTTTAAATCTAGCTGTGGACATCAACAGGGTCAATTCATATACTGGTTACATAAATAGTGGAAACGAGAGACAACAAGGGATACCAAGCGATAATCTTCATTATATTCCATACCCAATGTGTTTGATGCTGTGCAACATAAAGAAGTGCTTTTTGTCCCTTTTTAAAATCTAGATATGGACATCAACAGTGAACAGGATCAATTGATATACTTGTGTTAAATATATAAAAAGAGTGAACAAAGGATATTGAGATGTCATGTTCACAAAATTTTTTCCATAATAATTTTATTGTTGTTTAGTGGTTAATAAAGGAACAGGTGGATACAATACTACAGAAGCATTTAGGGGCTGTTTGGTTAGAATTTTTTCTCTTGAAAGTCTGTCAAAGTGTCACTTTTTGTCAGGCTTTCAGCCCAAATCACCTCTAAAAAGAAGATTTTGGCTGAAAGCCTGTCAAAAAGTGACTTTTTTGGCATTTTTGGCATTTTTGGCAGGCTTTCAAGAGAAACTTTCCCTTAAAAACAGGGAACCAAACAGCCCCTTAAAGTACTGATCTGACTTCATAGGATAATTTTTGGAGCTTATGTTAGAAATTGTAGCTTAATTGACTTTTTGGGAGGTCAGGAGAAGAATGTAAGGAACTGTCTTTCCTTTTTCTATTTGGAATGCAGATTTTGGCAGCAAAGACATCTATTGTACATTTGTAGTTAGTTTGTGGTAGAAGTTTGATCGCTAATGGATCTGGAGTTCCAAGGTTTCACAAACAGATTTTCTTTTAATATATCACTGGTAATAGGAAAGCAACATTGAAATGAGTGGTCTGAGGTAATCAGTAAGGCTGTGTTGGTTTGGGAGAATGTGAATGAAAAGAAAAGGTAAGGAAATAAGAAAAAGAAAGGAAAAGAAAAACCAAATAAAATAAGATTCAATTTTATGGTTGGTTAAGAAGATACTGGTAAAACGAATTTTGAAGGAAAATTAAATTAGTTCAATAAAAATGAGATAGAGAGTATAAGTTAACTTATGATAGCATAATTATCTGTTTAATAAAATTCTTTCTAAAATAATTTTTAAGATCTTAAAATTTTATTTGAGGATAGGATATAAATCCACACATAATTGCTCTTTTGCATGAAAAAATAATGTAGAGATTTTTAGCTCCCAGATTAACCCTTTTTTTCTTTACCTGGGCCTAGAAATACCTATGAGCTAAACATACCTTTGAGCCTCATTCGTTTTTATTATTCTTTCTTGGGTTCCACATGAAGTTGAAAGTAAGCTTTTGGGTCCAAGTTTTCTTCTGCTTAGTGCGGCCCATGTCTAATGATAAGGAGAGATGGAGTGTGTGATTTGATGAAGCCATGATCAATGTCCCAGTTTTTGCTGGAAGAGGTTATCATGGAGAGGCCTAATTTTTTTGTTTTGTTTTTTTTTCCTTTATTTTTCTGGGTGTGGGTGTGGGTGTGGGTGTGTTTGGTTTTGTTTG